TGAACCCCTACACCCCTAAACCCCTGAAACCCCTTAAACCCCTAAACCCCTAAACCCCTAAACCCCTAAACCCCTAAACTCATAAACCCCAAAAGCCCAAAGCCCTAAAGCCTACCGCCCCTCGACCGACTCAGACCCCAAGGACATCCCAAACACCCGAATGAAGTCCGAGTGAAACCTTAAAGCGCCGTGTAAGCCCCAAACCATGTTCGTAAGGGCTTCTTCGCCCTAAACCCTAAACCCTAAACCCAAGAATATAATTAGACACATGAACCCAATGAGAACTGCGCAGAATTCAGACACAAAGAGCACATGTATGGCCCTATACAGAATTAAATGAGCAACTACTGCTCTGCATTTCCATGACGGGCAGTATTCTTCCAAAAAGTAGGTTCCGGACACTTTTACAGCCGCAATGTGATACATGTTCCGTTCGGCTGCTTCTTTACTACCTATAGGTATGATCCCCCACGTAGAAAGTCTAACTGCATGCCCACACCCTCAACCAGAGAAATTGGGCCAGCTTGACCAACGAACCTCTTGGGTGCGTTCCCGGTTCATCCACACGATCTCCTTCCACCGGAAAGCTGCGATAAGGGCCAAAATAATTAGAACAGGGTTCTGGGGCATAAAAAACTATACCTATATAGTAAGGAACCCTAGGAATCACAATATTGGTGCTTATTTGCGCCCCTGTTTTTTACCTCCACAACAAGTCCCTAAAACCAAGGCGACCATCGGAGCCCAAGGTACTTCGGCTGACAACCAGATCTGTGGTCGATCATGGGCTTGGATACAGTCGGGTTCAAGGTAAGTTGTCCAAGTCGTTCACGATCCTTGTAGGGTTTAGGGTTTAGGATTTAGGGTCCCTTTTCGTGATTTCGTACTTAGAGGATCATGGGACTTAGTAATTGCGGTTATTATTAAGGTAACTATACTTATAACCCCAATTAAGATACTTATAACCATGCTTACTAAGTCCCATGATCCTCCAAGTATAGTCGGGTTCAAGGTAACTATGGGAGTTTCCGAGGATTCGAGATGATGGGAGGCCAACAGGGGGTTTAAGATTCTTGGGGTAGGGATTCCTTAGTATGAACCCGATTATTAAACCCTAATCCCCACTAAACCCCCACAGGCTAAAACCCCTTTTTGGCCTCCTACGACAAGAGCAAGAGGGCCCAATACCCGTTAGTTAAGGAATATAGCTTAAATCATACTATGAAGCCCCTTTCATGGTTTAAGGTATGTTCCTTACTTAAAGGGTATTGGTTAGAAGCTGCCCCCACCCTGTAATAGTGACTATAAGGATTATACTAGGGCCCTATTATGTTCCTATTATACTACTATTACAGGGTGCAGGCAGCTTCTAAGGTATTGGGCTCCCTGGGCTACCTCCGCCAAGAGCTCCTCCTGCTGCTGGTCTCTCTCAAGGAGACGCTGCCAGTCAGATTAAACCGAACTAAAACGGAAGCTCTGAACCCTCAACCCTAAACCCCCAAACCCTAAACCCTAACCCCTAAACCCCTAAACCTTAGACCAAACCCCCAAACCCTAAACCCTAACCCCTAAACTCTTAAACCCTAGCCTCTAAGCCCCTAAGCCCCAAAACCCTAAACCCTAACCCCTAAACCCCTATACCCTAACCTCTAAACCCCTAAACCCTAAACCCTAACCACTAAACCCCTAGACCCTGAACCCCCAGGCCCCGAGCCCCAAAAACCCTAAGCCCAGAACCTTCAGCCACAAAAAACTGCTCTGAGACCACAAGGCCTCCACCCTGGGACCCCTGAATACCTGCAGTAGAAGCCAGAAAGTTGGAACATCATTAGCCTCATTCCCTTAGAGTAAAGTATAGGGAATCCCAGCACGAATCATCCTAAATCTATGTTCCAACTTTCTGGGGTTCACTATAAACCCTAAACTGGGCCCTTCTTGCGGTATCTAAAATAAGTTACCATAATACCTAGAGGCTCATACCCTACCCCTTTTTTAGGATACCCAGTTTTATGGTTAGGATCTGTTATCTTAAAAAATAGGCGCCCTAAAAAAGGGGTAGGGTATGAGCCTCTAGGTAAAGAAACCAGGTAATCTGAGATACCATAATAATTAAAGAAACCATAGGCATAATAAACCCTAGGCCCTCCTCTGTTTCAGGAATCTGATCTAAGTTACCATCATAAAGAAGCCTTGGTTGCTGAGTTCATAAGCCCGAAAAAGTGTACACTTTCAGTTTTGTAGTGGCTAATATTACCCCAAAAAAGTGCAGTGTATCCACTCAGCTACTAAGAAGCCATACGGGGTTATGTATAAGTTACCATAAGAACGAAACCATAGGGGGTTAGGGCTTAGGGTTAAGGAATTTAGCTTAAGTTACCACAATCGGGAGATAGAAGGGCTCCTTCAAGGGATCTATATACACGGGTTCCGTCGAGTTTTTTTTAACTCCTGTTAACGCCTGCTCGATCCTCCCAAGCTGACATAGGGTTTAGGGTTTGAGGTATAAGTCACGATAAGTGGGAACCTATAGTAAATAATATGGTTTTCTTTATTATGGTAACTTAAAGTAATTCCTTAACAAGAGTCCAGTAAAGCACCATGGAACCCAAAACGAGAACCCAAAGCCCTCGGTCGCCTCCGCGCAGCTTCGCTGTTGGACCGTCTGCCACCCTCGCATTTCGATGCGGCCTCACATCTTCAGGTTTCCAAGGGGGTGTACCTAGAGGCTCATACCCTACCCCTTTTTTAGGGCGCCTATTTTTTAAGATAACAGATCCTAACCATAAAACTGGGTATCCTAAAAAAGGGGTAGGGTATGAGCCTCTAGGCAACGGGGTGTAGATTTTGGATTGACTTTAAGGGTTTACGGTTTAGGGTCAACGGCTTAGGTTTTAGATGTCTCAAGGGCTTGCGGTTTAGGGTGTAGGGTCTTGATTTTAGGGTTTAGGGCTTAAGGTAGAAGCCAGAAAGTTGGAACATCATTATCCTCATGCCTCTCCGTAAAGTACAGGGATTCTTTAACCCATGTTCCAACTTTTCTGAGATTCACTATAGGGTTCAGAGCTTTCCGGTTTGGGTGGAGGCGATTGGGATTTGAGGCGTTTCAAACTTCTAGCCTCAGACCTCAAAGCCCAAACCCAAAGAAGAGCCCCTGAACCCGAACGGATATTCAGAGCACCTGAACCCTGCCACCCCTGTCATGATAGCGGGGGCCGTGAGGCTGCGAAGTCGGGATTTGGATTTCGGGTGGGAGGCTTCGGTTTTAGGTTTAGGGCTTGGGTTGTTGAATAGCGGGGCCTAAACAACTACCGACACTTTTTTGGGGAGGGGCCTTATCCCAACTATAGAACAGTCTAATGTACCCCAAAGCTCCTTGAACCAAACCCCCGTAACCCTAAGCCCCAAACCTTAAACTCAAAACCCCAGACCCCAAACCCCAAACCCTAACCCAAATCTTAAGGCCTACGGTCCGGTTTTGTGGTCTACAATCAAGACGGTCGGCCTCGCGTCCAACTTCTTACAAAGCGGGGAGTTTCATCTGCAGTTCTAAGTCGGATTTTAGGTCCCCGAATATGGGATATAAAGGTTAGCTTTAAACCCTTTGAAAACTATTTATGAATAGGTTCCCTTTAAAAGGAAATAAGGGAAATTAAAAATTATCCCAAAGCACAACCCAGTATAGTTACTCATAGCGCTACTGAACACTACCTGTGAACTTCCAAAGAGAGGTCCCAGTGCTCGCATACCCAGAATAGTCGCCAAAATATACACTCACCAAGGTTGCCAAGGAGCCCTTTGATACACCCACCCAAGCCCCCATCGAGAAGCTTACGTCATCTACACCGAGGCGAACTTGTAAGAATTCGTGAATACACTGTTAAACCCATTGAAAGCCGTTGACACACTCTGCCCTATGACGCAACAAACAATCAAGCGCACTGCGCTTCTTCAACCGATGAGCACCTTCTGCTTTCGCCAGAGTCTCAGCCAATCGGACGTTGCCGAAGGCCGTTAAAACCCTACTTAAAGGACCAGAGGGTTCAGTAGTAGATACCATATCTCTATAGTATAGGGGCTCCATACGGGCTTCTGGAAGAGTTGGATGGGGTTTAGGGGTCTTTGGGTACTGGGAAAGGTCTGCTAAGGATCTACTTAAAGCATCAATTGCCTTAATAGCCTGTGTTTACAAGTCTCTACTGACCGACTGTAAACCCAAAGGAACTTCATCAGCGACCTTCTACATTGTCCTACATGGTCATCTCAACAGCTTGGCCGGGTACCCAAGCCCGTTTTTGCATTAGTCAGTGAGGTAGGGCAAAAGCTGTACCTATGTGGGTGGTTGTCAAATTTAGGTCCCTTTTTGGGTCCTTATTATAGTACGGCACCTAGTATTCAGGGTACCCCAAAAGGGACCCTAATTTTGACAACCACCCATGTGAGTCTGAACTAAGATACGAGCATACTAACTCAAAGCAGGCCCAGAGGATGTGGGTGTTGTTTAGCTTTAGGTGAGCTGCGGCAGTTCAACGTTTGAGGCATTACAGGGGCCAGCCAGGTCAGGCAAACAGTGCTTAGGCTGTGGGCTATCGTGTTGTAGGCTGGGGGCGTGCGGAAGCCTAGGGTGTAGGTTGTAGGGTGTAGAGCGTAAGGGTTCAGGAGAATCCGGGTAGAAGCTACGAACAAAGAACACAACTGTTTCGCAGACACCTATCGGCCTGTGGAAAGCCTCTACTCAAAAAAGCAAAATCCGTGTTCGCGCGGTAAACCCTTAAGCCAGGCCCTCAAAGACCATAAACCAGGCAGTGAAACACAAACCCAATAACCCACACATCTCCTCTAAAAAACCTAAGGGACCCTTAACATGCAAGCTTTCTGAAAACCCGACTTCCTCGCTGTAAGAATCCGAAACCCTAAACCCCTAAACCCCTAAAACCCTAAACGCCTAAGCAACTAAGCAACTAAACCCTAAGCCCCTACAAATCCCTTACAGCGTTCCCTGCTCAGAGCTCCCCTGCACCAGTGGCGAGGGGAAGGCCGTAGAGCCGTGCGGCCGTGTCGTGGACCAAGTTGGTGCGGTCCTCTGGGAACCCTTCTACAGTAGAAGCCCAAAGTTGGAAACCCAATAGCCTCGATCCTTAAGAGCAATGAATAGGGAATCCCAGCACTATTTCGCCTAAATCCGGTTTCCAACTGTATGGGGTTTACTGTAGTGCCACGGTAGATCATCAGAGTCATTCTAGACCCCTTAAGGCGTACAGGTGGTTCCTTTAAGGAGCTCCTTGAATGGACCCTTCAAGCATAGTACGGGGGGTTCCTCTAAGGGCTTTGTTGGCTTTCAGGTTTAGGGGGGCTTTGCATGAGGACTTCTACGAGCGCTCCGATAGGCTTTCATGGGATTCGAAGGCTTCGATGAAGCCTTTTGGGCTTCTTTATATATAGGGTTCCATAGTTCTAGGGCTCTAGAAGTAAAAGGCTTTACCCATACTGAAGCCGCCCCACATTGGACCCTAACTTAAAGAACTACCCAAAATAAAGCCGCCTCGAACCCTAAACCCTAAACCCCAAACCCTAAACCCTAAACTCTTAAACCCTAAACTCCTGAACCCCTAAACCCCAACCCCTAAACCCCAAACCCTAAACCCTAAACTCTTAAACCCTAAACTCCTGAACCCCTAAACCCCAAACCCTAAACCCCAAACCCTAAACCCTAAACTCTTAAACCCTAAACTCCTGAACCCCTAAACCCTGACTTAAAGCCGCCTCGAAATCCCTGGCTCTCGCCTCCTCGGACATCTCAGCCCAGGCAGGCCAGGACTCCGGCGCCATCACAGCCTCGGCGTAGCTGGAGTGCTCTGTGGCGTACCTGCCCGAAACACTCTAGATGGCGTTTAGGGTTCCTTTGGTGGTTTAGGTTGCGTTTGGGGTTAAGGGTGTGGGGTTCACGGTTTGGGGCTTAAGGTAGGAGGGGGCGACGGCGCTTTCCAGGAGGATTAGATCCTTGACGATTTCAAGAACTCGGTGATAAGCTCTGGGAACCCCAAACCCTAAACTCTGAATCCTAACCCTAAAAAGCCCTAAACTCTAAACCCTTAAAAACACCCTAAAAGAACATCCTTTGTAAAAGCTGTGTAAAAAGGCCATTCTAGAAAACCACATAACACCCCACAAAACCCTGCCACGACCAGGCAAAAGCCCGATGGCAACATCATTATACAACTCCCCCAAGAGCCCCTGAAACTCTAAACTCCCACACCCTGGTAAATGCCGCAAAGGCAAGCCCTGATAACACCGGATACAGCACATGAAAAATCCTACACCCTAAACCCTAAACCCCAAAACCCTAAACCCTAAAACCCTAAACCCTACACCTTCAAACCCTAAACCCCAAAACCCGAAACCAAAACCCTACTTGAAGGCTCATGGGACTTAGTAAGTAAGGTTATAAGTAGGTTATAATTAGGATAACCCCACTTAGGGGACTTACAACCCCAGTTATAACCTACTTACTAAGTCCCATGATCCTCTAAGTAAACCCCAAACCCTACACTGCCCTGGGGCGCGGGAAGTCAGATCCCCAAAGCAGCCGGCTGGAGCCAAACATCTCCAGCAGCTTCCTCGGGTGCCGCGCGTCAGGGTGTAGGGTTTAGGGTTTCGGGTTTAGGTTGGGCTTAGGGTTTGAGGTTAAAGTCTTATAGGGTTTAGGGTTTTTCGGCTTAGGGCGGCTAGGGATTCCTTTTCTACTTAAGCACCGTTGTAAACACATGAGAAAACTACTATGTTTTATAACCGCTGGCATCTTATTATAACAAAACAAGAGCACTAAAGTCCTGCGGGTGTGAAAGAGCGCCCGGCTATTATCCTATCATCCTGCAACTATGGCTCAGTTTCGACTCCTAAACATCCGAAACTCCCTAAACCGAGCTTGGGAGCCAGGCTGAGCCAGGTTCAGACTTTAAACTTCGGTTGTAGGTTGTTACGGCTTGTTGCAGCTTTTGGTGCGTAGCGCTTCGGCAAGAATGCGGAATCAGCGGTCAGGGTTTAGGAAGTTTGAAGTCTACGTTATAGATGTGTAGGGTTTCGGGCTTGAGTCCACATGGCACATGGAGAAGCACGTGGGAGCATTATCACACATTCCGGCTGCAACAGTAGGGACTCGGATTTCGGGACCGCAGCAACAAGAACAAGAAGAACAATAACAAGAACGGTGCCAAGAACAAGATCAAGATCCAGATCAAAGAGTAATAATAAGAACAATACGAGGAAAAATAACAGGAACAAAAACAAAAACAATACCGAGAATAAGGAGAATAATAACAACAAGGGGAACAGTAATAAGAACACGGACAAGATCAAGAACAAGAACAGGAAGACCCGGACAAGGGCAAGGACAAGGACAGGGACAAGGACAAGAATAAGAATAAAAACAAGAACACCAATTTATTACAAGACAATAAGAACAATATGAGAACAGGAAGAAGAGAAGAGACAACTAACAACAAAACACATCAGAAGAAGAGCAAGGAGAGAACAAGAATAATAAGAAGAACCAGAACAATGGCAAGCAACAGAACAAGAGCAAGAACAATAACAATAAGACAGGAACAAACACAAGAACCAGAACAAGCACAACAAGATCAACAGCAATAACAGTAATAACAACAAAAATGAAAACCAAAAGAGTGTGAATAACCAGAACAGAAAACAAGAACAGTTACAATAAGAAGAAAAAGATTAAAACAAAAAGATCAAGATCAGGAACGAGGACGGCCAACAGAAAAAACATGCCAAGTAACACAATACCCATGCGAACAAGCTGCCATGCCAATAATTCCTAATTCAACGGTTCTAAACGACACCCCTATCCACCTTATTTGTGAAACTCCCAACGAAGCCCTCAACCCTGAGCCTGAAGCCCTGAATCGGACACCCACACAACATGTAGAGCACCTCAAGACCCCTACAAAACCGGGTTTAGGGTTTAGGGTTTAGGGTTTAGGCATCGATCTCTACAAAAAACTCCCTGGTAAACCTCCTAGAACCCTTCTACAACATTCAGAAGACAAGGTAAACCTCACAAAGCCCTGATAAAAACCCCGCAAAACTCCGGCTGGTGGCTTCAGACGCTCCGACAGCTCGGGGAATGGAGTCTTCGCCATGGAGACACGGAAGAGCGCTGAGATCTTTACGTGCACCTGAGGGGATTTTTCAGGATCCTGTGGATGCCTGAAGAGGTTTGTCAGGCTTGATAAGGGGTTCATAGGAATGGGGATATCCATGAGGTGTTCGTAAGGGAAGGGGGCCTCACAAGCCTGGCTTAGGGTTAGGATGTGATGCAAAAACCGCTGAAACCCACACCCGAAATCATCCCCGAGCCTTATTTTAATTGCCCCCAAATCGACCTGCCGTCGATAAGACCCCCCAACCCCTAAACCCGAAACCCCCAAAGCTTAAGCCCTTCACCCATTTATGCCCTAACTAAACCCTGAATCCGACTTTTTGGAGTTCCGGTCCTGCGGGTAGGCGCTCAACTTCAAAAGGGCGTCCCAGCTCGCCTCGTCCAGCGACCGCTCGCCGAAACCCGTGGCGGGCTGGAGGAAGAAACCCCAGTGATCGATGATTACCTGGTTCAAGTGGGCTTTTCGGGTCTAGGGTTTTGGGAAAAAGCCTACCAGCCCAAAAACCCTAACTTTAGAACCTTAGAGTACTCTTTGGAGTAAACCCTTTCCAGGACCTAGGACTCACAAAAGGCCCCATAGCCGGGCCGAGCAGCCTGCGTTTCGGGCGAACTCTTCATCAGCGCCTCGATGTCCTTCAACTAAGAGCTTAGAATGGCTTAGGGTTTAGGCCTTAGGGGGAAGGCTAAGAGGATAGATTGATTATGTTATCATGTGAGGAGGCTTTTATATACGAAGGTTCCCATCAAAGTAGGGGACATTCTGCAGCGGGGACCCTGCTTCGAATGCTTGAACCAGCCCTCAGGCGCCTAGGATGTGGGTTTTGGGATGTAGAATTGGTATTAGTATTAGTATTCGTATTCGTATTCGTATTCGAATTCGTATTCTTATTCGTATTAGTATTGATCGTAGTAGTAGTAGTAGTAGTAGTAGTAGTAGTAGTAGTAGTAGTAGTAGTAGTAGTAGTAGTAGTAGTAGTAGTAGTAGTAGTAGTAGTAGGATTTCGGGCGTGCTGAGGTGTTGTAGGGTTTGGATAGGGACGTTTGGGTTTTTGAATATTGCAGATATATCGGGTTTGTGTTTCCTGGAATTAGGCCGCAGGGTTCAAGTTACCTGGGTTAGTTAGGGATTTGGGTTGAAGGTTGTTCAACGCATCGGAGCTTTTCTGCTTGGCCTTTGACGTTCAGGGTTGCGGCATCAATCGTGCTCGCCAGCCTGTGCTTCGTGCTGGCACTCGCAGCTCTAGGGTTGAATGGTTTAGGGCTTACAGGTGGCCAACTTAAGTCAGATCGCGCGTGAAGTCACATCACTGTTGTGAACCCTGGGAAAGGCTGAAGTCACGACTTCAACTATTCCCTTCTAGGGTCCTACAAGGCATGATTAAGGCTTAAGGTCAATTTTCGAGTGGGAGAACGGTGACTATGTCTGCCTCAGTGTATGAGGGGTCTAAGGTGCAAGGTTCACCACATCAAAGCGTGCAGCCCGCCACCAAAACGCACTCTTTGTAAGTTCACGATTCTGGAGTTTCCCTGAGTCCAAATCTTAACCCGACACCCTGAATCACAACCCGATATCCTGAACGCTTGACTCTTAAATGATCTGAACCCAAACCGTAAACCACTGAACTAATAACCCTACATCATGAATCCGCCTAAATCTGAAGCTTGAACCCTAAACCCAAAAGCCTAAATCGCAAACCCCTTGAATCCCAAAACCGCAGCCCCGAGCTCTAAACCCGTTATTCGAAACGGACTCCTGACCGCACACTCTGCGACCTCATAAAAACCCTGACCGAATCATACGCAGATCCGAACCACTCCCTGTGAAACCCTTGCCGGGTGCTGCAAAATCCTGTTAAAACAATCCAACCCCATGCATAGGCCAAAGAGAAGCGGAAACTCTCCCAAATCCTAGAACTCTCGGTTTTGAGCTTTTGGGACCCTGAGCGTTCGGATGTCCTCCACATGCTGGCTCAGGCCTTTGAATGGCATAAAACCCACAGGAAGCCTGGGCTCTTGGTTCGGGGTTAAGGGTCTACGGCTTAGGCTCATGGGACTTAGTAAGTAATAAGGTTATAAGTAGGCTATAATTGGGATAACCCCACTTAGGGAACTTATAACCACAATTATAACCTACTTACTAAGTCCCATGATCCTCTAAGTAGACTTTAGTCGTTAGGCTTTAGGGCGGAGGGCTCGAGGCCTCGGATGTTGGGCTAGAGCCCCAAAGCCTTAACCCCAAAGTCCCAAAAGTCTCAAACCCGAAAATCATGAACCTTGAAGCTTCAAACCGTAAACCACACCAAGCCTGACCCTAAAAAGCTGCATGTATATGTATATATATATATACATACACATACATATATGATTTTATACATATATATATATATATATAATATCCATATTCCACCAAAAGAAGACAAAGTCGAGAAACCCTTCCATGCTGCCGCACCCCTGCAAAGCCCTTATACAACCCATATGAAGCCCTTACAGAACCTTATATGTAAACCGTATACACTAGACCCTCAACCGTAAACCGCCGTTTACAGCCGCTATCAACCTTGAACCCTAAACCCACACCCCAAAACCCAAAACCCTACAACCCACATCCCTGAAACCTATACCCTAGAGCCGCCAAGACGCCGCAGCTCGCCCGCCTTGCCGAATAGCGCCTTCCCGGTGGCGTCGGCCATGCTCTGACCTGTTTAGGGTTTAGGGCCTTAGGGTTTATAGGGTTTAGGGTTTAGGGTTTAGGGTTTGGGTTTAGGGTTTAAGGCTTTAGGGTTTAGGGCTTAGCTTTAGGGTTTTAAGCTCTGGGGCTTATAGGGGTCTACGTGCTTTAGAAGCTACCCGCAGTTTTTCTGGTTGATGAAAGTTGTAATTATTCCATATATAACCCAAACCACCTCTACGTCCCAAAACACATAACTTGACACCCAACACCGAGTCTTGGGGGTTAAAGGCTGAGGGCTGCTCACTTCCACGGTCAAGCAAACCCCCGACTGCAGGAATGACCTACAAACGACAATTCGATCCGGGTTTAGGGTTTCGGGTTTAGGGCTTAGGGTTTAAGGTTCGAAGTGAATTTCTGAAGCAGAGCTGCTTGGACCCCTTCGCCCTACGGCCTGGAAATTCCGATAAATATGCTTGAGCCTACCCCCTGTCAAAGGGGAAAAGGAGGGGGAGAAGGGGCTAAATATAATGGGTATATAATGGCTACATTAAGGCTATATACCGAGGGGGGTCGTCCCTCCTTTTACCCTTGGACCCTGAATTCCTTTCCATTCGTCAGGCCCGCATGAGCAGCTCCAAGCTCCCAAATGCCGATGAGAGCAGACCTAAGCCGCCTAAACATACGGTTGATGATATAAATCCTGCATGACCCATAATAAGGAATATACCATAATTTGTATAGTTAAGGGTCCTTAAGGTCATGCAGGATTTATATCATAAAGAGTAGGAGGCTTGAGAATTGAATATAGTAGAAGCCAGAAAGCTGGAACGTCATTATCCTCATGGCCTTAATGTAAAGTATAAGGGGCCTTAGCACTAATCCTCCTAAAGCCATGTTCCAACTTTCTGGCTTCTACTATAGGGCTTTGGGATCGGTTATAGCTTAGCCATAATACCGAACCCTTAAAAATACGCAAATTCTAAACCCTACTCCGCCGCGGAGACGGCCTGCAGGCCACTTGTAGGGGTTGAAGCGCACACCCACCCACCCCTTCGAGCTCGAAGCAAGTCCTTCCAGCCACTTCTCCTTGGGCGGCCGAGGGATTACTGTTATTACTGGTAGTATGACTATCAGCATTACAGTACAACTGCTACTAGTACTGTTGATGATATAAACCCTGCATTACCTTAAGGACCCTAAACCATAGGAATTATATGATATTCCTCATTATGGGTAATGCAGGACTTATATCATCAACCATATCACTGTTATTGCCCAACGCACCCCTAGAGCTCTTCAACATGCAACGTCCCAAGGCCACCCACAAGGCATAAACATCCCACACCATCAGCATCAGACTCCATCGAACCCGAATTCACCTTCCAACTGAAAAGTACACCGCAATAACTAAACGATCTTTCTCTTAGGGTTCCTAATCAGCCCTTCCACGAAACAGGTCTAGGGTTTAGGATAATTATGGAAGCGCACAGTATGTCCCCACGCAGCCCTAACACCTCTTACGACAGATGCAGCCATTCCTCTCTCCTTCAATAACCGGGCCCAAAAAAGCTTAAACTTTCTAAGATAGACCAAATTTTTAGGCCAAAATGTTTAAAGTTCCCCCCTTGGCTATCTAAGAGTCAGCCGCGTCTGCGCCCACCGTCGGGTCCGCCACGAAGACCCCGCACAGGCGCCCCGGGTGCTGACGCATGGCATCCAGAAGGTAGGAATAATCCTCCAAGCTTCTCTTGAATAGGGCTTTAGGGTTTAAGGGTTTAGAGTATAGGGTGAAGGGTTTGGGTGCAGGATTACGGGTTTAGGGTTTAATTAGGGAGTTTAGGGTTAAGGGTTTAGGGTTCGGGGTTCTTTCATGAACCAGCTTGGGATTGCAGGGCGAAAGCTTGCAATGCAACGGTTTCAGAGGGTCTTACCGGGTTTGCTGCTTAGGAACCCTGGGAAGCGTTTGGGGCTCGCTTGGAAACATTAAAAATCATCATCAATGGCTACATGCGTGGTTAGAAGTAAGGTGGCCAACATTGCTATGACTACTCACCTCCAAAAACAAGCCTCGGACCAAACTTTCGGACGGCCCTTTCCTGGCCATAGTTGATCGGCTGCACCACAACCTGTGGCAAGGACAGATGTCGGTTCTCTTGTCTTGTTGCCAGGATTGCGTTGAAGAAGATGTTGGTTTGAACATTGGGTATTGAAGCCACCTGGAGTCGAAGGTGGACGGCTGTAGGGGTGGAGGGCTGAGGTTACAGTAAACTCCATAAAGTTGGAAACCGAATTAAGGCCAAATAGTGCTGGGATTCCCTATACATTAATCTTAGGGAGTGAAGCTATTGGGTTTCCGACTTTTGGGCTTCTACCATAAAGATTGCCGCGTTTCTGGATGTCGTAGGGCCTGCGGGATCTGAGGTGCAGGCAACGAATCGGCAACGAAGCAATTTGAATGGAAATGATGGCCTCAGGAAGAAGGCGAACCCAAAACCCTAAACCCCAAAAAGATTTCGTTAGCAAGGTGCTCTACTAACCTTGTCAGTAACACTTATGTAACCCTTGACGTCGTATAAAACCCTCATGGCAACCCGCATGGCGAGACTGCCGTGAGGTTCTCCATCTTTTGTGTTCACGGATACTACAGCCCTTCTTGGATGCACAATAGTCGTACAAACAGGAACCAAACCTTTGCTAGGTAAGTCCCAAACCACAAACATAGCTTGATGGCGTCCTGATTAAACCCCGCTCAAACGCGGCTAAAGCCGCAAGCCCTGAAGCCTTACAACTGCCCTGCAGGAACCTGATTAACAGAGCCTGGACCTACCGCAAAGTCTGGGATCCACCATATAATCACAACGCTAAAACAAAACAACTTAATCAGGCTCCTACATTCTTAGTTGTCCCGCGTGGGATTCTAAGTATGAGGCTGAACATATCCCCAAAACGTTGGTTAAAGGCTACCTACTCTACTACTAAGTCTTTGTCCAGGGCACCGCCCTTCGAATGCCACTTTCATCCATTCGCTTCAAGAACTCCTCCGCGAAAAAGGTGTTTGGGGTTGCGGGTTTTCGGGCTTCGGTTTTAGGCGGGTTCAGGCTCTAGGGTTTTGAAATTTCGGGGTTTTGGGCTTCCAGGACTTGCGGGCTCAGGGCTTTAGGGCTTTTATGGCATAGGGCTTTCGTGGTAGAAGTTTGTAAGGTGCGGGGTGTAGGGCGGCTCAATTAGGCTGCAGGTTTTTTGAGCCCAGCAATGTGTGGACGCCATGATGTCATGTCAGGTAACTGAAGTAAGTTTAATCACAATACCGTGCCCAGGACATGCGAGTATCACCTGGCATAATCGCACGGGAATTCGTACGACCGTCGCCTCCTGGTGAGGTGTCGGGTTCCTACCCTGTAAACATGGTGCACAACATGATATTGTGATTACAATACCTATTAATAACACTGCCCTTAAAATCCCCGTTCTAGTGATTACATAAAAGAAACCCTTACAGGGCGTTCAAAGAACCCTACCAGGAACCGTTGAAGGACCTCCATATGAAACCAACAAACTCGGCAAGAAACGTCTCGTAGCATCTCTCCATGAAAAACCCAATACACCAGTCAAGCAACCCTTGCCAAAACCCTCTTCTGCGGGGGCCTTAACAACTACAATATTATAATAAGGAACACCTGACATAGTATAATACTATTTTAGGCGTTCCTTATTAGTATAGGTAACTAGGTTGGCCCCTTAAAGCCTCTGAAAAATATTCGTAAATAGGGTCCTACTAAGCCCAGTAAGGGAAAACATAAAATGTCCCAAAGGCCAGGGTACTACTGGGCATCCTAATCCCTAATTTTCGGAAACCCCAAACCCTTTATAGAACCCTTATAGATCCCTTTACGGAACCCTTATAGATCCCTTTAAGGAACCCTTATATCATCCTCAACCGGAGGCCTACCTAGGTAATTATTTCGGCCCTTACCCGCGCTGTACTCCTCGTGGGTGGCTCGGCCATCTGAGTTCAGCTGCTCCGGAGGGGCAGAGTCCCAGGGAAATGCCTGCTTAGAGGATCATGGGACTTAGGGTTCCTTAAAGGGCTCCTTAGGGATCTATAATATTAGGGGTTCTATAGTTTAGGTTACTTAGAGGATCATGGGACTTAGTAAGTAGGTTATAATTGGGGTTCTTAGTCCCCTAAGTGGGGTTATCCTAATTATAACCTACTTATAGCCTTACTTACTAAGTCCCATGAGCCTTCAAGTGCAGCTAGTGGCGGCCATCACAATTAGAACAGGGCGTTGGGTCTATTAGTATACATAACCCGTCACCCTTTGAGGTTGCGGAAAAAGACTGTCTTCTTATCCGGGGTCCTAGACCCCATATACCCTTCTACCAATGCACCCCTCAACCTCAACCTAAACCCTAAACCCTAAACCCTAAACCCTATGAACCCTGAACTGAATCTTCCCGCGCCTTCTCATCCGGGGTCCACAGGTGCAGGTGGGAGTCAACTCGAGGCCGCGATCCCGCAGCCCGAGCCATGCCGGCGAGGGCCGTGAGCCAGGGGAGCCACTGAGCGATACCTTTGTCGGGCTTAGGCTTTGGGATTTATGGATTTTGAGAGGGTTCCCTTGAGGGTTCTATGAAGGCGTTAGATGGGATGTTGACAGATTCCCTTGGTGGTTGTAGGATTTGATGGCTTTGTGCGATAACTCTCGCTCAACGGCTCATGGGTAATGTGTGGGGGGGGAATAGTCACAAGAGGGCCTTGGAGCAAACGAATGATAGAAGTGCCTTCTGCTTGTGGCTGCGCGAGACACTACATGCGGCTACCAACATTCCTTGAGAGATCCTTCCGTTCCATTCCATCCACTCATCCATCCATCCGTCCATCCATCCGTCCATGCAGTGATTCATTAATTCATTCATTCATTCACTTTTCATTCATTTCATTCCACTCCATTCGCGGCATAGAAGCCCCTCAGTTGCACTCCTCCTGCAGATCTGAGATGCGGCCCTGTCGTTCCTGCTTGGGGTTTAGGGCTTAGGGCTTAGGGAATATGAACCCAAGCCCTGAAGCCCAACACGTGCAAAAGCCTAAACCCGTAAGCCACGAACCCACAAGCACCACAGCCTCCCACCTCTCCAACCCTGACACTGCCATACCAACCGGTCAGCTGACACACCCTGAATTCGAGGTTCAGAAACAGGAGGGCCCGAACATGGAACCTCAAACAAGGATCCTAAGTCTCGCTGACCAAACTTGATGAGGGTATCCTTTCTCCTGGTATTGAGAAATGTTAGAATGGTGTTAGTGGGGGACCTAGTCACCCCCATCACTCATCACCCCATCCCCCTCAAAAAAGGGACCGCTTTGCAAGACCAAATCTCCGAGCGAGAAGCCTCGTGAGCTGGGCCCCGGCCGCACCAGCCAACTGCGCCGCAAGCCAAGGCCAAGAGGTGAAGGCACCGAGGGGCGCAGAGGCACGGCCAGGCGCGGGGCCACGCAGTGCATCGACCACCGACGGGAGCCACAACACAGGGAATGAGCTGTGCCCTAGAGCATGGAACATAGAGTTTAAGGTATCTTGCCTGGCTCAAGGGTGGCGCGGTGCTGGGTTGCGAGATCTTCTAGTGATTGCAAAGAAATATGGGTGGTTTCTGTAGTCAGAGACTTCTTAAAACGTCTGACTGTCTTACCATAGAAGCCTGGCGAATTACCAATACTGTTCCTAAGCGCTCCTGAATATATTGTTAGTATACCACTACGCAAATCCGTACACGATGTAAACATAATACATGCTATAGTACACGACGTAAGCATAGTATATCATATGATCTAGCAATCTAACATCTCCAGTAATTACAAAGCTTCCTGTCTTTGGCGGCTGACTGCCCATGAAAGAGCGGCGAGCCGGGCAAGAATCAGAGCAGCATCGAAGCCTAATTGAAGGCTCGTGGGACTTAGTACATAAGGTTATAAATAGGTTATAATTAGGATAACCCCACTTAGGTGAGACTTATAACCCCAGTTATATCCTGATTACTAAGTTTCATGATCCTCTAAGTAGAGGGGGTTTCAGGGTTTAGGCATTAGAGGCTTTAGGGTTTAGTGCGTATTTAGAGTTTAGGGTGTTTGGGTTTTGGTGTTAAGGGCAGACCTGGAGATTCAAGTAAGTGGGGTTCTAAGTTCTAGCTATAGCTACCCTGCTTATAAGCAACCCTCAACCAGACCCTGAATGTACTTTCGCATACTGCTTGAGGATCTGGCGGGACATTAGCGGCCCACCCGGCAGTCCCTTACACTCTATGCTGGTGCTTTTCGGTTTCTGCTCTTCCTCATAGCCACTATGCTACTATGAAAGTCCTAAGTCCTCTGAGCCCCAAGCCCACATCTAAACCCGCCTTTCGCAACCCTTTGAATCGGGACTGGGCCAAGGTGGACCAAAAGAAGCGTTTACAGCTATGCAGGCTTCTACAGTACTCTTGGCTGATATGGGAGTTTCCGAAAATCGGGAACCCTAATATGGTACCCTAAATAGCAGGATCATATTATAAGGACACCAAAATAAAGTACCCCCTAATTTTCGGAAACTCCCATATCTGGGGCCGCCCTTTTGTGTGGCGGATCCGGAGTCAAAGTAGATCGATTCGTATCGGCTTTAAAAACAGGCCTCCATCATGAGAAACGAAGTTGGAGGGGCTAGCGGGGGCAGAATGTCGAAGTCGAGCTCCTACAAATTCTTCAGACCTCGCCTACTACCCCTCTACACAACCCCTAGGCCCTAAACCCTGAACCCTAAACTCCGAAACCCCAAACCCCTCAACCCTAAACCCTAAAGCCGCAGGCCCTAAACCGTGAACCCCGTAGACCCTATACCCTGGGGCCCCCTACAACCCTTTCAGCAGTCCAAACCCGACTCGGGGATCGAGCCAGGAACGATCTCTTCGAGCTCGTAGACGTTTCCCAAATCAAACCTTTGGGTTTGGGGTTTGGGGTTTTTAGGGTCCCAAAAAACAACTCAAAGAAGGGTGACCTTGGATTCGGGGTTTGGATGGCTTTGCGGGTATACACCAAGCAACTGAGCCCTCTGGACCCCTTAAAGGAACCCAGTCTATTCAACCCTTCGGTTGGCCAGACCCTAACCCCTATAGACCCTCAACGCCGAACCCCAAACCTTAAACCAAAATCATGAACCCTAAACCTGAATCCTAAACCTTAAGCCCTTAACCTTAAACCAAAATCATGAACCCTAAACCTGAATCCTAAACCTTAAGCCCTTAACCTTAAGCCCTTAACCCCAAACCTTAAATCAAAATCATGAACCCTATGCTATAGATCCCTAAACCTTGGAATCCTAAACCCCCTAAACCCCTAAACCCCTAAACCCTAAAACCCGAAAAACCCTAAACCTTGAATCCTAAACCCCTAAACCCCCAACCCCTAAAACCCTAAAACCCCCTAAACCTTGAATCCTAAACCCCTAAACCTCCAAATCCTGGCCCGCCCAATGGAGGACAACCCGGGCCCCCGAGCTGAACCGTGGAGCCACGCACGGTGAGCATCCTCCGAAGGGACGGGTTCGGAGTTTCGGACTCCTTTTCGGGTCTAGGGTTTAGGGCTTAGGGTTCAGGATTTAGGGCGTTTAGGGTTTAGGATTTAGAGTTTAAGGCTTTTACGGTTTGGGGTTTAGGGGTTTGGGGTTTCTGACTCCTTTTGGGGCTTAGGCTTGCTTTTCGGGATTTCCTTCAAGGGCTTCCATGCAAGGTCTAGGGTTTAGTGCTACTGGTAGGGCCTTTCATGAGGTCCAAAAAGGGTTCTTGTTCCATTTCGGGGTTCCTTCATGGGGTCTCTGTAAGGGTTCCTTATAGGGTTCTCTGTAGGGTTTAGAATTCCTCCGAGGGCTGTGTAAGGCGTCTATGGGTTTGGGGTTTTGAGGTGTGTACACCCAGAGTTTATGGACATACCATCCGTCGCCCCTAAACGAAGAGAGGACCGAAGAAAAGGACGGGTCGTAGAAATCTCACAGCGTTTGTGCAGGCGATGGTTTAGGGTTTAAGGTTTGGTTCGGCATGAGATACCTTGGTCCCGGAATCCGTTAAGGTTTAGGGTTTAGGGCTTGTAAAATGTAGGTCTACACAAACTAGAGTTCACTCGAGCTAACATCCCAAAAACACGAAATGCTTCTGTAATACTGCTGATGGATGAAATCCTCCATGACCCTGAGGACTCTAAACTATGGGAACTATGGTATATTCCTTATAATGGGTAATGCAGGGTTTTGTCCATCAACAGTACGACCAGCTCGGCGTGCGGCAACGCTGTCTGCTGCTTAGCAGCTCTGGTCTCTCGTCACCTCGTCGACTTTAAGTGGACGCGCTTTGGTCCTGCTCCCCTAAACCCTAAACCCTACTAAACCCTAAACGCCTAAACCCTAAACCCCGCGCACCATCCTGTCTTTCGAGTTTGCATGGCTTTGATCCGCGACTGATCCGCCACACCATATCGTCTCTCTTCCCGATCCTCTGCTCCCCCAGGTCCGAAACCCTAAACGGTCAACTCAGACGAACTCTGCGTAAACCCAAAACCCCGAAACCTTGCAAAGTCCTTGAACAAACCCTATACAGCTCGGGTTTGATAACTGTGCCGTTCACACTTGAGACCTTGGGTTTTCCAGGATCTCCAGGTCCGGATTTGCCCTTAATCAAACCTAAATCCGAAACCCCCAAACTTCCCCAGTTTAGGGTTTAGGGTTTAAGGTTTAAGGGGCCCAATCCGGGAAACAGGAGAAATCTAATCCCAAAAACCGGAGAATACCCTATTGCGATCCCTCTAGATGGGCTTCTGCCCTCAGGCGGTCCCCAAAGAGGACACGGAATGGCGCCAACGGCCCTGGAGCGTGTCCACAGTCAGCCTGAGCTGAATATGGGATTCTGTTGACTTCCATTAGGGCTTCGTTGTTTAAATCAGAAAGCGCTAAGTCGCGGCACCTAAGCGCCCATTTCCACAAGCAGTCTCAGCGCATACAGTATGCACTTTGTCAGTTTACCGCGTTCTGCTTGGTGTGCCTGTTCCTGCTAACTGCATTGATCTGGGTCCTGCTCTTCACACAGACACACACACACACACACACACACGCACGCGCGCGCTCACACACAAAACAGCAACTTTGTAGAAACGAAACCCTGAACTCTACGCCTCTACACCCCACAACACGCAATTCCCGGCAACACCACGTGGTCCTACTGCTGCGTCCCTCTTACGGCTCCCTCAGACGGCGCCACACGGTTTAAGTTTAGTGCTTAATTTTGCTGACTATGGGTCCCTTTTGCCGTTTTCGGTTCCGAGATCAGCACGGCACCCTTGTAAACGCGCCCGGAAAAGGACCCTGATTCAGAGAATTGGCTTGCCCAGTTAACGACCTGGCCCAACATTAGCGGAATGTCTCTTGACCCAACCTAAACGTTCAGGAACCCACCTTTTTCTGAAGAACATTAGCTAAGATTGTGGGTTCATGGTTGCGGGAGGATGGTTCTACAGACCCCTCATGAAGCCCGTATAGAAAACCTTCAAGGAAACCTTTATAGGATCGTTACGCCAGGGAGCTCAAACTCGGGCAACGCCTCGCGGTGGCGCTTCAGCTTCTTCTTGGGCCTGCGGTTCCACTTATGATTGAGGGTTTTACAGGTTTTAAAGGGTGCTGTGAGGCTTGATAGGGTTTTGATGTTAAGTTCTTGCGACGTTGATTCCAAACTGTTCTGATCCGTGTCGCTTGGTTTGCCCACGTCTTCTGCGGGACACCCGTTCAACTTGTCCACATAGTGGACAAGGCGACGACGCCGGAGGTCTGTATTATAAACCAAAATCTGGCACTGATAGTAATTGTGTATATGTTGCATTGTCAGGAGCCTGCCACAGATCATGGGAAGCAGCCAGCTTGGCTGTGTAATATCGGCGCCTTGGTATTGGGGCCCACTCTACTATAAGTGTAATGGTATTGCAAATTATTAAGGCCCCTACGGTAGAACCCTACTGTAGACCCCTTGTAGACCCTCCTTTAAGCAACCCTTTAAAGGAAGCCCCACAATAGTAGAGGTAATCATTCAAGCCCCTAGAGTACTTGGAGGACCAGGGGACCCAGTAAGTAGGTTATAAGTAGGGTTATAAGTACCTTAAATGGAGTTACCCCAATTATAATAACACTACTTAAAACCTACTTACTAAGTCCCCTGCCCCTCCAAGTAGACCCTAAACCCCATAGATCCCTTTAAGGAACCCTTTAAGAACCCTTACTAAGTCCCCTGGGCCTTTAAGTAGGGTCCTGGGCTTTGTCATCTGAGGGTGTGGCCTTTGGCACATGGAGCTTCCGGTCTCGGGTTCATGGCTTTAGCGCTTACGGTTTAGGGTTTAGGGGTTGAGGGTTTATGGTTTAGGGGTTTAGGGTTTAGGGTTTAGGGATTAGTCTTTACCCAGATGCACCAAAGCAGTTCCTTTTTGGGGTTCATATATAGAAT